TGTTTGTGCTAATTTAAGGAATAAGGCATGGAACTTGATTACAGACACATAACCGTCTGCTATGTCTAAAGAATAACATAGGCAGAGTGTTGGTGAATTTGTCTCTAGAATATCCGGGTTACCAAATGAGATAAATTAAGAGATTTTGCTGCCATGGAAATTATGAAATCCTTGCAATTGTTAAAAAGGAAAAACAGTAATTGCTAAAATATTACACAGACAAACTTTTGTCTAGGTATACTTCAGTAGGACTGGCCCCTATTAAAATTGTGTCTAGTAAAGAAGGTAGAAGGAGAAATGAAGTTATTAATTGAATATGATAATTTTAGAGGGAGGTTTAAGGAAAGACCACAAAAGTAACAAAATTACCAGGGTACTAACAACTATTCGGTCACACCCCAAGATAGATATTATAGGGTTTTATTAGAGTAATTCTATGGTATGCTATAATTGCAACCAAGAAGGTCATGTTAGGAGAGATTGTTATAATATGAAGAAAAACCTTACCTAGTGAAAGGGAAAGAAAATTGAATATTCCAGACAATAAGAATCTACAGAGAGTGGCAGCTGTAAAAACAGAGCATACATCTTCAACCAAACCCCCCTCACATATCAAATCCACGTGAAGAGTGTATACGGATGTTAAATGTCAAGAAAAGTGGAAGCAATCACAAGACCACAAGTGAAATCTGCCTAAACCCACCAATAAATAGGGATGTGTATCCTCTACTTATTATCAGATCTATATTGCTGATATAACTAAGTGAAGATGGGCGACCATATATTTATGGAAGACTAGAGGGAAGTATAACAGAGTTTATTAGAAACATGAGCAGCAGTGTCTCTTATAACACATGCTTGCCTTTAAAAATTTAAGCATATCAACAAATCCCTTCTAATTTTTAATGGAACACATGCACATGCAACTCTATCCACTGATAATGTAATAATGAAAAAAAAAATAAGTTGTATGTGGATTTATTAAATTTGGTTTTATGGCAAGCTCCTGGTGAGAGCAAAACAGGTTGAGTGGTTAAACCCTTATAAGTTAAGGTAGCATAGCCATGATATGACTGTAAAACAGAGTGAAGTGTCACCTTCTATACAACAAGATAATGAGTTTGTAACCTATCTTAAAGTAAAATACCCCACAGTATGCTCTAAGTCTAAACAAGATTGTGGGATAGGGAATTTGCAAGATGTAATTGTAGTTCTAGACCCCCTGCAGTAAAACAATATAAGATCCCAAAGAATCAGAAGAAGGTGTAAGTCAGGTGATAAAAGCATCTGTATCTAAAGGAGTGCTGAGAGTGGTTAATTCCAAATGTAGTTCCCCCATTTGGTCAATAATCAAGCCGATGGCACTTATAGTTTAATTGTGGACATGCGTGTGGTAAATAAGTAAATCTCATCAGATATCATAGCACAAGTAGATGGCAATGTTAAGTACTTTTCTGTCCTGGATATTGTCAATGGGTTCTTTTCTATATCATTAAATCCAGTTAGCAAGTATTGCTATGCTTTTACCTTTAAAAATCATCAATATCTGTTCCAGGTGTTGCTACAGGGCTTCCACTCCTTGTCAGCTTACTTTCATAAAGCATTGGATCAAGTATTGGAACCTCTGGGGTATGGAAACAAGATTTTGCAATATGTTGATGATCTGTTAGTTGAAACAGTAACAAGAGAAGAGCATGAGCAGATACTGTGTGACATTTGTCAAGCACTGGCAGATAATGGGTTAAAACTGAACACATTCAAAGTGCAGATCTTGAAAGAAAGATTGGCTTTCCTAGCAGTTAATATAGATTCAGAATGTAAAACACCACGTACAGCAAGGGTTAAAGCATTACAGTAATTGCCAAGGCCAATGACAGTGTCTGATCTACAGAAATGTTTAGGCTTGATAAATGTTAGCAGATAATTTATATATGATATGGCAGGGATAGCAAAACCCTTATGCAATATGTTAAAATATAAAAGATAAGCTCTTCTGGACAGGGGAAGTCGAAAAGAGTTAAATCTGTTAAAAGATGCTCTCACCCAAGCGCCCGTGCTAGCTGCTCCCATTGAAACAATGTCACGCAGGTGTCACGCAGGTGTCTCCTCATTAATAGCAGTTTTAATGCAAAGGTAACATGGCTCTTTACGAATGCTGGGATATTTTTCTAAAATGATGTCTCCAGTGGAAAGAGGAATGTTTTCCAGTGTAAAACAGCTCATGGCGGTATGACGGGCTTTAGAAGCAATATACAGTTGCAAGAAAAAGTATGTGAACCCTTTCGAATGATATGGATTTCTGCACAAATTGGTCATAAAATGTGATCTGATCATCATCTAAGTCACAACAATAGACAATCACAGTCTGCTTAAACTAATAACACACAAAGAATGAAATGTTGCCATGTTTTTATTGAACACACCATGTAAACATTCACAGTGCAGGTGGAAAAAGTATGTGAACCCCTAGACTAATGACATCTCCAAGAGCTAATTGGAGTGAGATGTCAGCCAACTGGAGTCCAATCAATGAGATGAGATTGGAGGTGTTGGTTACAGCTGCCCTGCCCTATAAAAAACACACACCAGTTCTGGGTTTGCTTTTCACAAGAAGCATTGCCTGATGTGAATGATGCCTTGCACAAAAGAGCTCTCAGAAGACCTACGATTAAGAATTGTTGACTTGCATAAAGCTGGAAACGGTTATAAAAGTATCTCCAAAAGCCTTGCCATTCATCAGTCGACGTTAAGACAAATTGTCTATAAATGGAGAAAGTTCAGCACTGCTCCTACTCTCCCTAGGAGTGGCCGTCCTGTAAAGATGACTGCAAGAGCACAGCGCAGACTGCTCAATAAGGTGAAGAAGAATCCTAGAGTGTCAGCTAAAGACTTACAAAAGTCACTGGCAAATGCTAACATCCCTGTTAGCGAATCTACAATACGTAAAACACTAAACAAGAATGGATTTTATGGGAGGATACCACAGAGGAAGCCACTGCTGTCCAAACAAAACATTGCTGTACGTTTACAGTTTGCACAAGAGCACCTGGATGTTCCACAGCAGTACTGGCAAAATATTCTGTGGACAGATGAAACCAAAGTTGAGTTGTTTGTAGAAACACACAACACTATGTGTGGTGAAAAAAAGGCACAGCACACCAATATCAAAACCTTATCCCAACTGTGAAGTATGGTGGTGAGGGCATCATGGTTTGGGGCTGCTTTGTTGCGTCAGGGCTTGGACGGATTGCTATCATCGAAGGAAAAATGAATTCCCAAGTTTATCAAGACATTTTGCAGGAGAACTTAAAGCCGTCTGTCTACCAGCTGAAGCTCAACAGAAGATGGGTGTTCCAACAGGACAATGACCCAAAGCATAGAAGTAAATCAACAACAGAATGGCTTAAACAGAAGAAAATACACCTTCTGAAGTGGCCCAGTCAGAGTCCTGACCTCAACCCGATTGAGATGCTGTGGCATGACCTCAAGAAAGCGATTCACACCAGACATCCCAAGAATATTGCTGAACTGAAACAGTTCTGTAAAGAGGAATGGTCAAGAATTACTCCTGACCGTTGTGCACGTCAGATCTGCAACTACAGGAAATGTTTGGTGGAAGTTATTGCTGCCAAAGGAGGTTCAACCAGCTATTAAATCCAAGGGTTCACATACTTTTTCAACCTGCACTGTGAATGTTTACATGGTGTGTTCACTAAAAACATGGCAACATTTCATTATTTGTGTGTTATTAGTTTAAGCAGACTGTGATTGTCTATTGTTGTGACTTAGATGATGATCAGATCACATTTTATGACCAATTTGTGCAGAAATCCATATCATTCCAAAGGGTTCACATACTTTTTCTTGCAACTGTCAAACATTGCAGGATTTGGACAGATAAATTTACAAACCCCCCAAATATCTAAAACTGTTACAAAATTGTTCTGATTTAGGAGTACATAGCCAGAGGGTAGATCATTGAATATTGAAGTTACAAGATAATCCACCCAGGATAGAAACCAGTAAAATATATGCTATTCCTGATTTGATGGAAACACAGGGAACACTGCATGATTGTCAGAAGTAAATGGAAATATAATGCATATCGCCTTTTGAGAAACAAGCAATACAAGGGATTTCTTGTTTGTATGTGGATGGAACAAGATTTTATGCTGATGGATCACATCACACAGGTTATACCATATATGGCGATCAAACAAAAGAATTGCAAAGATACAGACTGCCAGGCCATATGTCTGCTCAGAAAACTGAGTTAGAGTCTGTAAAGAAAGTTCTAGAAATAACAGTATATGACCCAGTGAATATAATCAGTGACAGCAGTTACGTAGTTAAAGCTTTAACACTTCACTTCCCAATATGGGGATGGTAGATTCTCAAGATAAAGCTTTAAAACATGCAGGTATTCTGGCAGAACTGTTTAATTATGAAAAAGAAAAAAGGTTTAACTTGTCGTTGTGAAACAGACTTGTAGATCAGGAATCAAAGGAAACTTTGTTTGAGGAGTTGTAATACATGGAAAATGTAATGAGTGCAACTGTTGGTAAAAGACAAATAACAAATACCCTATAAGGTCTGAAAGAGAATGAAAGGATGTAGCTTTCACTATAGAAAGAATGGATCTAGATACTGAAACTGGCTTGTACAGGGTTAAACAATGAAACACAAACATTTGTACCTAGTGGCTTATTACAAGGGTTGATTGTATTCAATCATCATACACAGGGCATTTGGGTACAGGAAAACTGTTTAAGGTCCTGCAAAATAAATTGTATCATCCTAATTAAAACAAAAAGTGTATAAATATATTGCAGAAGTGTCTCATAAGTGCTCAATTTAATCCAAGACCTAAATACTAGAAACTAAAATTGCAGAGAGTTCCTTTGGCAAAAATACCATGGTACTCTATATAAATTAATTTCTAAATTAAAATAAATAAAATAGAAATAAAAATGCTTTAAGATAAAGAGTAATTGGTTAACATATTTACCAGGAGTATTAATGTCTATTCCTGCAAATCCAAACTTAAGTGTCACCTCATGAGTTAATGACATGTAGAACTATGTAATCACTTTCCCTAATGAACCTTTTGTTCCAAGTACATTCAAAGTTGGAGCAGAACATGCTGAATGGTTGAAAGTATTGCAGGAACATCTGCTGTTAGATTTGAAGTTTGCTACTTCAACTATGGTCCCTTATGGTAAACTATGTGTTAAAGTTGTACGGCGCTACGTAATCTGATGGTGCTATATAAATAAATGAAATAAATATAAAGAAGTAACACAGGGAAATTATGCAGATAAGCTTAAACCAGGTTACAAGGCGATGGTAAAATCATTTAAAACACCAGCTCTATGAAAAACAAGTTGGGAAGGTCCTTATGGTCCTTATGTTAGTCTAAGAATAAAAATTAGGACAAACTGTGTTACAGGTTTAAAAAGCAAACATTGGTACAAAATGTAATAAATCAATTCTTGTGCTTGGTGATCAATGTAAAAGAAATGTACTAAGGTATAAGAAATGTACTAATGTATAAGAATAGTAAACTGCCATCTATTTTTCATTACAGAACCAATACTGTTTTATATGGACAAAAACCTGCACGATTTTAAATAAAAGGACAAATTGTTTTGACTTTTAAAGGACATTATGGACTTTCAAAGAGACTGTGCTTGTGGATTCAATTGGAGAGGACAGGATATCATGGACTAAATCAAACCGATTGTGTTTTCTGGTTGATGTAAACTGTATACAATTGCACAGCATAATAACTATGATACTGTTATTATTAATGTTAGGTAACATCAATGCCCAAGGTAAATTAATGAATTAGTGAAAAATTTTAAGGTAATTGTAACAAGAATTTTGTTCTTAGGTAAATTAAGCGAGAGTTCAGAAATGAAAGGGTTAAAATGTCTTGCTTCTCCCTCTTGGAGTGTAAAAACAATACAGACAACTGGAAATGGCTGTGTTAAAAGGCCTTTCCTTGAAAACTGATACTTAGACAAATATCAGAGAACAAAATTAAAATCCCATAAGTAATTGGTATACGTTATTATGATGCAATATTTTAAAATGCATTAAAATAAGCATCACAGGGGAAAATGAAATATATTTTATGAACTATTAAATATTGAATGTGTTGATATAAATATTATAAGTTTTATTCAGATTACTTTCAGAACACTGAAATTGAGAAGCCATACCTAGGCCTATAGTATTACAGACTTTCATTGTATAGGAATGGAGACCACATCTGGTTCACTTTAATAGTGATGGTTGAAGGGCCTGTTTATAGTAACCTTTAACCTAAGCTTTGCAAGATAGACTCCCTGGGATGTCTCACATTTGTAAAGGCATTTATTCAATCATGTATTTAGAAGTTCTTTCTGTTCTTTGTCTTACATATCTTACCACCAAATATAACGTATGGCTTTAATCATAGATTTCAAATGATGCTTAGTCACTCCCCTCTTCTAAGATAGCCACTTATTTTAAAGTAAGGCAATCTTATGTATACGCCCCTCTGTAACTGAATTTTAAACCTATAAAACTGATTTAGCTTAGAATTCGTGGCCAATACCTTTAACATCAAAAATGGATAACATCTGGAACATTGCTCTGTATTGGACAAAGACTGTTAATGACTTATGTTATTATCGGATGTTGTGTATATTGAAATAAATATAAATTTTTAACTGCAAGATACTTGATTCGATTTGTTAAGAAAACTGGTATGTGACAAACAAACATCTCAAGGAATGCGAATTTCCTACACCAGTGTTTACATGCTTTTTTTTTTTTTTTTGCAAGTTATAGGGCTATAAGTACAAGTAGGAAATTGCTGTTTCAATAAATATTTTTTTTTAAATTCATCAATAGTGACATTGTAACACTGTTATCTGTCATAAATCCCTGAATTAAATCCCACATGTACATATTTTTTTAAAGTAGACAACCCAAGGTATTCAATATGGGGTCCAGTCTTTTATAGTAGCCACTTAGTCACAAACAAATATAAATGCTAAGTGGCTACTAAAACAGGCTGAACATACCCCATTTGCAATTCCCTGGGTTGTCTTATTTTGCAAATGGTATGCCATCATGGGGGTAATGCTCATTCCTGGGCTACCATATGATCTCAAAGGCAACATAACCAATCTGACAAATTTCAATAATAAAAAAAAAAGTAAAATCAAGCCTTATATTTGACCCTGTAACCTTCAAAAACACTATAAAACGTCTACATGTGGGGTACTGTTATACTTGGGAGAATTCATTAAACACAAATATTAGTGTTTCAGAACAGTAAAACGTACCACAGCAATAATATCATCAGTGAAAGTCCCGTTTGTGTGTGAAAAATGCAAAAAACTTCACTTTCACTGACAATATTATCGCTGTGAAATGTTTTACTGTTTTGAAAGACTAATATTTGTGTTCAGCAAAGTCTCCAGCGTAAAACAATATCCCCCATGTACAGGTTTTAGGGTGTCATAGAAAGTTACAGGGTTAAACACAGTGCTAGCAAATTAAATTTTCTGGACTTTCGGCCTGGGTTGTCAGGTATGTCCCTCAAATTTCAATCAATAAAATTACTTAATTATGTAAAAATATTACATAAATATGTCTGTAGAATTTAAATATATATACATATTTATATATTTGAGGTTAACGTGTATATTTATGAAATTATTTATGTAATTATGTACATGGACATATATATATTTCGTATTATTTTTATTTATTTATTTATTTATAAATAGAAATATATATCATTTCATTCTAAGTGTATTTTGATTTATATATATATATATATATATATTAATGTCAAAATACCGTTAGAATAAAATTACATATATATATATAATTTTTTTAAATTATTAAAAATTCTTTTAAATTTTTTTTATTTATTTATATTTACTTACTATTTATATTTTATAATATATATATATATATATATATATATATATACAATATATATATATTTATTATATATATATATATATATATATATACGTGTGAAATTTAATTATACGTGTATTTTTATATCAATATATGTATATATAAATATAAAAATACACTTAGTATGACATTATATATATATAGATATAATAGATGTATATATATCTTATATATATATATATATATATATATATATATATACACATATATTGTTTTTTTTTACACTGATTGATTTTACATCACTTTATTTTTTATCTTACAGATGCAGGGAGACTGCCTGTCAGCACAGACAGTCCCCCTGCAGGCAGAAACACAGGCACCTACTGTGGTCATGTGATCGAGCGATCACGTGGCAACTGGGTCCTAATCTGCTGTGGGGAGACTGTCTGGGCAGACAGGCAGTCCCCCAAGACCGGGTGAAACGCTGGTCAGGTAAGTACCCCAAGACCGTTATGACGGTTCAGGACCGTCATCGGTCCTCAAGGGGATGTTTCCGATGACAGTCCTGAACCGTCATCGGTCCTCAAGGGGTTAAGGGTCACAAAGATTAAATATTTTGTTTTTCAGTTTAACTCATGGATGGCATTGTATCTCAGGGCTCTTTTGATCACTGAAAGCAACCTCGGACACCTGTAATAATTAGATTGCCAGGTGAGCCCAATTTAAGGAAAAACTACTAAAGGAGGGTGTTCCACATTATTAAGCAGAGCACCATTTTCATACAATATGGGGAAGAAAAAGAATCTCTCTGCTGCTGAAAAGAGTGAACTAGTTCAATGCCTTGGATGAGGTATGAAAACATTAGATATTTCATGAAAACTTAAGCATGATCATCGCACTATTAAGAGATTTGTGGCTGATTCAGAGCACAGATGGGTTCGTGCAGATAAAGGCAGATTGAGGAAGATTTCTGCCATATCCATGCATCAGATCAAGAGAGCAGCTGGTAAAATACCATTACATAGTAGCAAACAGATATTTGAAGCTGCTGGTGCCTCTGGAGTCCCACGGACATCAAGGTGTAGAGTCCTCCAGAGTCTTGCAACTGTGCATAAACCTTCTATTCAGCCACCACTAAACAATGCTCTGAAGCAGAAATGGCTGCATTGGGCAGAAAAATACATGAAGACTAATTTTCAAACAGTCCTGTTGACTGATGAGTGCCGTGCAACCCTGGATGGTCCAGATGGATGGAGTAGTGGATGGTTGGTGGACAGCCACCCTGTTCCAACAAGGCTGCTACTTCAACAAGGCGGTAGTGGAGTCATGTTTTGGGCCGGAATCATGGGAAGAGAGCTGGTCGGCCCCTTTAGGGTCCCCGAAGGTGTAAAGATGACCTTTGCAAAATATGTGGAGTTTCTGACTGACCACTTTCTTCCCTGGTACAGAAGGAAGAACTATGCTTTCCGTAATAAAGTCATCATGCATGACACTGCACCATCTCATGCTGCAAAGAATACCTCTGCATCAATGGCTGCTATGGGGATAAAAGGAGAGAAAGTCATGGTGTGGCCTCCATCCTCCCCTGACCTTAATCCTATTAAGAACTTTTGGAGCATCCTCAAGCAAAAGATCTATGAGGGTGGGAGACAGTTTACATTCAAACAGCAGCTCTGGGAGGCTATTCTGTCATCTTGCAAACAAATTCAAGCAGAAACTGTCCAAAAACTCACAAGTTCAATGGATGCAAGACTTGTGAAGCTGCTATCAAATAAGGGGTCCTATGTTAAAATGTAACATGACCTGTTAAAATGTTTAAAAAGTTAAAACGTTGTCATAAGTTTGATTGAAATAGCTTTTGATTTCAGTAAATATGCTGCAAACACAACAAATGACAATTTTCAATTCTTTACAACCTATAAAGTGTTTTGAAACTTACTGTGCATAATAATTTGGAACAGTTCATTGTAAGTTTTTTTATGTTTAAAAAAAATACTGTTATCATTAGGAGGTTTGTTCAATAAAATTTGAATTGTACTCTTATAGTTGATAACATGAGAATTATGCTGACTGTTATTTACATCAATTATTTAGGTAAATGAGAAAAATATCATTTGCATAATAATTTTAAACAGGGTGTATATATGTAGATTATGCTTCATAAGCAAGGACATTAGCTTAACGACTATTCATTGTGAGCATATCGGCCAGGTGAGTAAAGCCTTTTTTTGCTTACTACTATCTACCTACAGGTTTGTTCCTTACCTTTACTGATTATAT